GTGTGTGTGTGTGTGTGTGTCTCTGAGATTTTTGTTTGGTGGGGTTTGTTTTGTTTTGTTTTGTTTTGTTTTGAAGTTACTTTTTGGAAAATAAAAATCCAAACATTAAAGTACTTTTTTGCAGTTAAAGTATATGTTTTCATATGTCTGATCCAGCTTTAAATAAGGAAGTTTTTCCAACTCTTAAAATTTTGAGAATGTGAAAATTTTTCTTGGGACACGGAAAAACAAGTTTGCGTAGAGATCCTGGCCTCTTGCAAGGTATTAGTGGAGATATACATTGTTAGAAATAACATGTCGTATATGACTTTTAATAATTGCTGTTCTTTTCTAGGTGAAAATGAAGCTGAGTTGTTTGGTGAACTCAGATAAAGCATTCAGGATTGCTGGAATACATTGGTATCATGGTACAGAAGGCTACATTGAACAAGATTGTCCTTGTCTTGCTGTCTGTTATGACAATGGAAGATGCCAGATAATGAGAGATGAGAATGACCACAGTAGGTACAAAATATGGGGTACTAATTAGTGAGCTACTCTTGGCCCAAACTATCTGCTTCTGTTTATATTCTTAATGTTTGTTTCCTAAAAACTAGATCCTGTTTTGATTGACACTGGTATGAATGTAGTATGTATTCAGTGGAATCATTGTGGAAGTGTATTGGCGGTGGCAGGCTCTCTGAAAACAACTTCTCAAGATAAAGATGTAAACATTGTGCAATTCTATACTCCATTTGGTGAGGTAAAAATAATTTAATGTACTTACATAACATAAATGTTTTTTTTAATCTTAGTATGTTTTGTCTGTGTGGTTATTACTGGTGGAATTTGAATGCCGAAAGGTAGTTGTTTAGTTTGTTTAATGTTCCTAAAGTATCTAGGGTATCCAGATGGCTCTGGAAAGATAACACAGGATCAGGTACCCTTTCAAAACAGCACATTAGTGGCCAGTGCAAAAATCAGAGTGCGTCTCACAAAATGATGAGACATGTAGAGTGTCTGACTTTGAACACTTAACTCAGATACCTGACTTCAGACTATAGTCAATAAGTGATTTGGAGTGCTTAGGCAGCAGTTAAGATACACAGATGTTAAGTTAGCATCAAATCTGGAAGTACTTGTCTTTCTCCACTGGCTTTGAAAGAGGCATAGGCATCTCTAGATTAGGAGTTCAGAATAAGGCAGTGAATACTTCCCTCTATTTTTATGGAATCAGTAATACTGAAAACACAGCATCTGGTATCAGTAAAAGCAATGACTCAAACCTCAGAAAAGGTAAACCGTTTGTAATCTTCATTTTTCTGTTGGGCTATTGTTCTATAAATGTTTTTTGTGCTTCCTGTCTTTTTGATATTAAGTGTTCAGTGGTTGAGAGACAGCTTTCCTATATATTTTTATTAATGGTGCTACTCTTGCTTTGCAAGGTGATTTCAGGTAGTTTCATATAACTGGAAATCAGTAAGTTAGTGTTAGGTATCAGAGTGGGAGGAAGTTTGTCCCTTGTACAGAGAAAGTAGTTGTCAGTTCTGAGGGTAACTGTGGTAAGGGAAGAGCTACGAGCTGTGCTGTGAAAGGGGTCAAGATCCAACACCATCTTGGGGGAGTTTCCTTAGTTGAAAGTATTAAATGGAACCAGAGGTTTTAGCAATAGTGCTACGTCTGTGGTTGTCCTTCAGAGATTTTCCTGTCCTTGAGATTAGATGCAGATGTGTTTAGAAGTAAATTCTTTGGATTTTAAGATTGTTTTGTACTAGTTCTGATATTCAGGTTAGGGCTTAACTTTTTGAAAGATGGTATCTTCTGTGAATAATGTGTGCCCAGTGTTTGCACTTGGTATTTGCATCTGAATAAAGGCATGAAGTAGGTACTAAACTGTTTAAGTTCATTGATAACAGTTTATTTAGGCACAAAGTTTTGCACTCAAAAGGAAAGTCAGATCTAAGCATAAGATAGTGTTCTATCACATACAGTGGTATCACACATACCAGTGTTCTGCTCAGTAAAAAGTTACATTTTTAAAAAGACTAAGATTATCCAAAATCTTACAGTAAGTAGTAGGTAAATGTATCCTTTATTACTTACATCTATATTATTTGCAACCAAAAAGCTTCCCGCAAACAAATGCTCTGTGGGACTAAGGTTATACTTTTAGAAAACATAATTTTTTTTCAATTGTTTCCTTCATTCATCTTCCAATTCTACAGCAAAATAAAGATATAAAAAATATGGAAAGAATATTTTTTTGTGCTAGGTCTTAAATTGTAAATGGACATTTAACTGCCCACTTTAGACTTCTTTTGAAAGGGAACAGAGAAGAGAAAAATGTTCGTTGCCCCACTGCAAGTTCTGTACCTCTGCAGCCGATTCATTGTATGCTGTTGACATAGATTAGCTGTATGTTTTTATTTGTTTAAACTATCAGCTGTAGTTAAGGGCATTTTACATCACCTGACTAACACACTTCCAGCATAAATGAAACTTCTGAGGCATTTCAGGTGTCAGTACTATTGTTGAGTTTATTTTAGTAGTGACTGAAATTATAAAGGCAATTCAAATTACCAACCATAGGAAAAAATGTTTAGACTGTCATTCTCAATCTATTATTTGTTTCCTTAAGTGTGAACTGCCGCTGAGTTCTACTTTTTCTTTCTTTCTGACAAAAAAATTGAGGCAAAAGAACACTTCATGGTAATGCACGTTAAATATCTCCTGCTTTGTTTGCATGTTTATTGTAACTTGGGAGTCATTATGGGGTACTGTAAAGAAGATCTGTGTTTGGTTTTCATCAACTATCACAACTGTTTATGTGTTTCTGAGTGGTTTTCCTATGATAAATTCAGCATCTTTTTCTTTTCCTTGTTTTAAACAAGCATTTGCGCACACTGAAAGTTCCCGGTAAACAGATATCTGCCTTATCTTGGGAGGGCAGTGGCCTGAAAATTGCACTAGCAGTCGATTCGTACATATATTTTGCAAACATTCGTCCGGATTACAAGGTATGCAGTAATGTGGCACTTAACTGTATTAATAAATTTTATTTACTCTTTCTGAACGGGTTGAAAAAGTAGCTTTCTTTAATATATAAATCAATGCTTAAGTTGCAGTTACTGTTTGATTAACACTACTGACTGTGAGTGTCTGTCTTGGTGATGGAATGACTTAGCCATTGCTCTTATTATGAATTTGTGATTTTTATTTTCATGATAAGGAAGTGTATGCTTTGTTAATATTAACAGAATGGGGCATGATTCTAAATTTGGCAGTAGCTAAGGCTGTCATGTAGGTAAGGCTCCAGTGTTTTCATTGCTGTTTGGTTGAACTGAGTGGGCTGTGATACAATGGGAGTTGTTTGAGCCTTACTGTCACTTTTTTGGTGGTGAATTATTAGTTTGAACCAGGAGAGTTGTGTAGAAACCTGATCAGTAGAAATGAATGTAACCTGATAGGCGTGCTTCCTATGTATATTTCAATTTCCAATATGCTTTTTACAAGTGTGTATTCAGCTAATTCTAAATAATATTTTATCTTGTCTACTATATGGCCTCTTGGTTTTGTTTTTGTAAAGAGTTAGGACTATTTCACTTTAAATTTACAGTTTAACCAAAAATAGTGATTACTGTCCAGTATGCAGTATTAGATACTTCTTTTTTTTCAGCACAGGGTATGTCCTTTAATTATCAGTGTGTAACCACTGTGATTAATGAGAGAGAGAGTGTGTAATATGAGGAACATACTGCAGCTATATTGAAATGTATTGTTCCACTCGGTTGTGAAATATCATCGGTTGGGGAGTTATAAACACAAATCTGCTAGGAAGCAATCTCAAATAGATTGTTGTAAATCTGCTGGAAAAGACTTTGGAAATTTGAGCTGGAAATTAGTCTTGCAGGAAATGCTACCTAATGTTTATTCTGGGAAATGTGTAACAGCTGGAACACAAGCCTGTTACTTTTTCTTAAACACATCAGTATCTATGAGACCATGGGTATTTCAAGATTTGGCACAGTTTGTTAATGAATAATCTTTTGGAACCCTAGTTTTAGAAACTGCATGTGTAAACTCTCACTCTCTTCTTTTTTTCCTTAACCTTTTGCATATTTAAAGTGGAAAAAGATGTGCCCAAATTACTTTATTTCTGTAGCAAATAAACTCTTAACCTGTTGGTAGTATATTCAGTTTCAATGTCAGATATTTTTATGGTGAATGATATGTGTTGTCCTTCAGTAAATAATACGCATTACTACCGATATGTTCTTTCTGATAATATCAGTAACTCCCTTTTAGGAACTAGATATCCTAAAAGGTGACAGTCATAAACTGGTAATGATTCAAAGGTTTCATGAATTTACGATGGATTGGAATTAGTGACCTGGAGATTAAGTGTTAGCATAACATTACCAGTCTAGTGAATAATCCCATTTCCTGTATTTTTCAGGTATTATGATAACACAAAAAAGGGGGTTCTAAATTAATGTGACAGTAAAAACTGTTAATTGAGGTGATCCTTTTAAAACTAAATTAGTACTACAACTCCAAAAAGATACCAGTTAAACAATATATAGAGTCTATAGCTCTAGTTATCTGTCTTCTGGTGTATATTACCTTGTTCAAATGTACATTGGTTTTCACTTTATATCCTCATCATCCAACATTCTGGGGTCCTTTGCCACTTCTCGAAATCAGCTTTAGATTTAACAAACATGATTTACAGTTTACTCACTTGTTACCTCATAACTTACTCCTTTTGTAGAAATTTTGAATATTCAGAATAGTGTAAGTTCCAGTTTGCATCTCTGGGAAGGATCCTGTGGGTAGTGCTCTCAGCTGTCAAAAGCTACCTTTAATCCAATCCTTATATTTTTCTTCCTGTATCCAAAATGAACCAAATCGGTTAGGTCATCTTCGTTTGCATTCCTATTGCCTCTCTGAAAGATAATAAATTATAATAATAAATGAATGAGGTACAACTTCCAGGGCTAGAAACATCGTGACTGTCCAGTGTGTTGTATTTATCCATCAAATTCCATTATCTGTCATTTTACCTTTTTTTTTTAATGTCTTTACCTTGTGTGAAAGTTGAATTTACTGATTTGTGATTCCCAGAATTGTAACACTCCTTATATCTGCCCACTCCTGTTCCTCTGACTATACTCCCACAGCATTGTGTTTGAATTTCCAAAGAACTCTACTTGAGTGAAAACCATTGGGTTCTGACAGTTTATTACCATTCAGTTTATATATCTATTCAAAAGGTTATTTTGCTGATACTTCAGTTTATCATCTGACGTGTGGATACAAAACCAAACCCCACAGTCTGTAAGATTGTAAAGTAGGTGTGTTTATTCACGTGTGGGCAGCACAGGGGAAGTTCCTCCATATCGTGCGCGCCAGGCGCTGCAGTTTGCCTCGCTTATATACAGCAAAGGGTTACATGTTCATAAGGTTTCCCAATACGCCCATACATGTGCATGACCTGTCCCCGCTTCGCATTAAAATTAGTTCTCCTCCCTCTGCGCTTGCATAGTGCCTCCTGGTGGTGGTCGACGGTGGTGGCGGGGATGAAGGCTGAAGGTGGTTCTTCATCACCGCTAGCAACTTTCTGTTCTTGCGCCGACTCAGTAGCTTCTTGGCTCTTGCTCAAACTGCAGAACTGGCTCTACCCGGTTCTGGAGACAGTTCTTCTGTTAACTGGTCTCTATAGTGAGTTTCCTTGGTTTCCTAAAATAAGCTTCTTAAACACAGTAACTAATAGATAAAATTGCTAACATTGCATTACCTAGGTTGCTAATTTTCTAGAATCCTAACACACAGCATTTCAATAGGTAATATATCAAGATCTCCAAGACTACATTTCACAACAAATTAAACTTTAACCTTGGTTACTGCAACACTTATTAGCCAAAATTTGTTTCCAAGAGCGGTAAGCAATAGAATGTTTCTAAGACTCCTTTAACTCTCTTTCACATCTCAGTTTCATTCCCTGTAGAGTGTGGGAACCCTTCTGGCCAGCTCTCTAACAAGCTTTCTCCTCTCTCTCCAGTAAATGCTGATGCAGAGAATTGTATTAGTTTTTCTTCAATTGCATCATCATCCTTAAGTGGTCAGTTTCATATCTCATTTGTCAGCTTCACCTCCTTTCTGAGATATTTTCTGTTTCTGCTGTATTAGAAAGGGTTTCCATTATTGATTTCTATAATTTAAATCAGCTGAATGCAATAAAATACATCTTAATGTTTTTTACAGTGTTACGTAAATAATAAAGGGTTTTTCTCATGTTACTATGATGGATGAGGAAATGGCTGTGGACGTTGTCTACCTGGACTTTAGTAAGGCCTTTGACACCGTCTCCTGCAGCATCCTCCTGGAGAAGCTGGCTGGGCATGGCTTGAACGGGCATATGCTTTGCTGGGTTAAAAACTGGCTGGAAGGCCAAGCACAGAGTTGTGGTGAATGGAGCTAAATCCAGTTGGTGACCACTCACAAACGGTGTTCCCCAGGGCTCGGTTTTGGGGCCAGTCCTGTTTAACATCTTTATCAATGATCTGGATGAGGGGATTGAGTGCTCCCTCAGTACGTTTGCCGATAACAGTAAGTTGGGAGGGAGTGTTGATCTGCC